CTTGGACGCAAGGGTGAGGTATAAACGGCTGAATTACTTCGTCAGATGGAAAGGCTACGACGCGCGCCGCACGACCAGTGGGTCCGCTTCGACCGCGTCTTCGCCCCGGACAAAATCGCGGAGTTCTACCGTAAGTACCCTGGCAAACCACGGCACATCGCCTCCGCAACCTTCGACTCGATTCCGTTCCGGTCTATGCGTCGGGACGCCGCATTCAAAGGGGGGGTGATGTCAGGGGAACCTCCCTTTCGGCCCCTCGGAGACGATCCCGATTCCGGTCCGACTCGGTTCCGACTCCGGTGATCGCATCACCGCCTCCGTCAGGCGCATCGCCGCCCCGCCTGGCGATCCCCCTGGGACCTGGCCTGCGACATGGCGCAGGCATACTGCACGGAGCAACGATCAACCTTGGCGCGTCAAGAGCGCAGTATATAGTTCCGCTACCTAGCAGGCGGACCCTTAGAGTTTCTTCTCTTTGGATCCTCCCCTGCTAGGTCAGCCTCACTTGTATTTGCTTACTTCTATTCACTCTTTGGATCCTCCCCTGCTAGGACCTTGATCTCAGGCCTCCGGGGTTGCCCTTACAATAGTACTGCACATCATATTAGCAATACAGCTGTAATCTGCTAGTTGATTATAGATCAAATATATGCAAGTTGGCAAATGAGGTGTATAAATCTACCCACATACTCCGATTGATCTACTACTGGAATTCCTGAAGGCACTATAAGACCTTAGAGAAGTATGTCTCTGACTGCAGCTTGCAGTTTATTGAGAATAGAGCCCTGAAAAGAGAAGTAGAGGAGATCTTGGATGCCAGAGTCAGGTATAAACAGCTTAATTACTTTGTCAGGTAGAAAGGCTATGACATGTCATACAATTAATAAGTACACTTTGGGCCATAGTGATAATATTTAGCTTAAAAAGCTTTAGGAATAGCTAGAATAGTGGTAGTCTAGAAATCTAAGTATTTCTAGTCCCTATGTTTTAGTTATATAATCACTATTATATTATTATTCATTTAATTATTTTCTGTCTTAAAATTACCTTAATTTTGATGGGGATTGTCATCTTTAATATATATGATTAATGTGGAGTGAGTTTTTATGACCATTAGTAGGTTTGATCACTATGTCAAGCTATATCATTTTGATCCCAATTAGAATACAGGCCTTTTCCACTACATGCCAGGTTATTGGCCAGAAGAAAAGGAGTTAGCATTACTGTATAATAGTATATATAGTATTTTCAACATTATATCTATCAGTTTAATGTATTAACTTGAATGACGCATTTCTAAAGTCTTTGTTAGCTGAAAAAATTCTTTCTAGAGTTTTATGCTACCCTTATTCAAGCTACTCCTAGAGCCTAGACTGATTCTTACACTTGCAGGTGATACTTTGACCATATCTTTGCCCTGGATGAGGTCAGAGAGTTTGATAGGAAGTATGCAGGTAAGCCACAGCACATTGCCTCTACCACCTTTGATGTAATACTCTTCTGGTTTCAAAGGGGTGGGTGATGTCAGGAGAACCTCTCTTTTAGCCTCTCGGTCTCTAGTAAATAAAGGACTTATCAGTGTCTTGTCAATATCTTATATACTATTGAAATATCTTATCATAGGCTTTATTACAAACTTCTAAGCTTCCTATAAGAAACTTATAAGTGTCTTGTCAGTATCTTATATAGTATTAAACCATATTAGATTAAGCTTATAATAAGATTATTAAAAGATATTATAAGAGCCTTATAAGACTATTAAAAGATATTAAAAGAGCCTTATAAGACTATTAAAAGATATCAAAGGAGCCTTATAAAACTATTAAAACATATTATAAAGCTGCTCATAAAGAGCTTATAAGTGTCTTGTCTGTATCTTATATACTATCAAAACAAAACATATTATAACAGTGACCAAATGTCTTTGTAATCAATTTAGCACTGTCACACTTGTGCTTGTGTTCATAACATGTGACGTTAATAGGAACCAAGTTCCAAAATACAATGAGCACAACAAACCCCACTGGGCTAGGGCCAACCAATTCTATAGAGTATACAATCTGCTGCTAAATTGACAATGCATCAGGCCCCTGAAGGATTGCCTGATTCAGTCTGGCCAGTCATTCAACTCTGGCTGTGCATCTTTTTGGTAAATGTGAGTCTGAGAGGACCTGCAGCCACTGTCTACCAGTGCACAACTTCTGCACCCTTCACTAGTCTATGCATTGAGACACCACATTCAAAGGGGAGGGTGATGTTAGGAGAACCTGTCAGGGGAAGTCCCCTTTCGGCCCCTCGGAGACGTGTCCGATTCCGGTCTGATTCTGGTTCCGACTCCGGTCCGGCCCCCCATCGCCCGCACAATCACCGATGCGTTAATGATCCGTCAACGCCCTCCCAACGGTTGCCCGGGGACCTTGCCTGCTACGCCGCCCAAGCCTTCTGTGCCCAACGGCGGCAGCTACGGACAAGCAGTATATAGTCAGCTACCTAGCAGGCGGACCCTCAGAGTTTCTTCTCTTTGGATCCTCCCCTGCTAGGTCAGCTTTATTCGTATTTGCTTACCAATATTCACGCTTTGGATCCTCCCCTGCTAGGACCTTGATCTCAGGCCTCCGGGGTTGCCCTTACAGAACCTCCCTTTTAGCCTCCAGAGACATCTCTGTCTCCAGTAAATAAAGGACTTATAAGTGTCTTGTCAGTATCTTATATACTATTGAAACATCTTATTATAGCCTTATGAGACTATTACAAATTCTAAGCTTCCTATAAGAAACTTATAAGTGTCTTGTCAGTATCTTGTATAGTATTAAACCATATTGTATTAAGATTATAATAAATCAGCGGACGAAATTAGTCATAGACGATTACTCAGGTACTCGTAATCAGGGCACGTGCGCTCATTCCTCAGACTTGCCCATTGCCAAATAGCAATCTCCTCCTCGTCTCTCTCTCTCGAAAACGCCGGGCTGCAGTACCCCCGACTTTTGTGCATCACCATACTTGGCCAATCGAAGACCTTGTTGGAGCCCCGGCTGATGCTTCCCTTGCCACCACGATCCATCGTTACCAGCGACAATCGACGTGTCGTGCCGAAACTGTCCTGGTTCCACTTTCCTCTCCTGTCAAACGCGCCCGCCCCAGCCATCTAGCGTGTTAGGAGCCTCCCTTCTTTTGCCCGGGGACAAGCCGGAGAGATACGAGATTGGCTCTGAAGCTGAACCTTTAAGCAACCCTGCCGGTGTTCGCCAAAGTCAGCCAGCTGTAAGCATGCTCTTTGCTTTACCGCAGCTCAACATATGACAGGATAAAGCTATGCAAGCCTGGGCCGAAAGCTTTTGAGACAAGTACCTTCAAGCTATGTTATGGAGAAATGGACGTGGCAGGCAGTCTGACCTGTGTGCTTCTCATTCAATTGCGAGACCTGCCACGGCATGGTTTGCGCTGAGTGCTGTGTTCGAAAGCATGAAACCAACCCAACCCATTTTATTGAGGTAAAAATTCCTATCGCTCGATCTTTGCTGATCTTCCGATGCTAGAAATAGACTGGTGTCTACTCCGTAAGAACCAGCTCACGCGATTGGGCCCTTCGAATCCAATTTGGCCACTTGCTTGGACAGACATGTCCTCTTCCCCGAACTGGCCGTCCCGACTTGGTCATAATTATAATTGCCGACAATGGCATTCGCGACGTTGCGATCGACAACTCTTGAAAGCCGGCTATTATCCTGCAACGACCTTCTCGCCGCGAACGTGCGCCACATTCTCTTGTCTTGACAGATTTCATTATCTGTATTTGCGTGCAAAAATGACGGCCTACGACTATTACTCGACATTGGAGTCGCTAACCGATGGCTTGGGGATCAATCCACCGGACCGTCACTCCATCTTTTTGCGAATTTCTCGCCAGTATCGACACCTGAGGCGTGATGGGAACTGGGCCGGGCGAGCTCGCCCTCAAATGTCCCGCTTGTCCCAGGCCAGGTCCACCTATCCGAATGATGGGAAGATGCTCCTCCAGGAGACCAGTAAGCTGGTTGCATTTCTTCCGGCAATGATAATCTGATCTTCGTTCAGATGCTTGTGCATCATATCATGTTCATTGCCATGAATGCCTGCTTCCGCCTCAACGACCAAACGAGCTTCGAGACCCTGGTCTTGGAACGGGTTGGCGGCACATGATCGAATGACATCCCTATCGCGAATATCTGTTGACGGTGACGGACAAGCAGGAGGTAACGTGTTTCGTTTTCCGACAAAATATCTTCGACTGATTGCACTTGCAGCGGTCTTGCGGCTCTGGACCGTGCAAATTCCAAGTTCTCCCGAGGCTATAGTGTTACTGGTGTTGGTATGGGGGGTTTGCGCAAGGGACGAATTCGTGCTTCCTAATGGTGTAGGTGATTTGCAAGCGGGCGAGCGGTAAGTCGTCTTACAAGAAAGTGAGTCGCGCTCTCATACTTCGTCAGCTACAGCAACCTGGACTGCATCTTCGCTTCCTTCATGCGCCGCTTGAACTCCAGACTCCCCAAGTTAATCTCCTACGACATCGTCTGTCCGTGGATGAAATATCTGATTGAACGCTTGGCCAAATTGCCTCAAAGGGCAAAATGCACATCAAAGGTCACTTGATCCAGTGCCAAATCCTGTTTTCTCTACTTTACATTCTCGGTTCGGGTATGACGGACGGCGAAAGTATTGAGCGCTAATGGAACATGATCGGTGGGGTTGCAGGCAAGCACACGCGTCTGTGGACCTGGCGCTCGATGGGATCAACTCGACGACTTGGAACTGGATGAAGACCCTTGGACCGGGTGAGTATCGTCTGATAATTCGCGTTTTGTTACTCATTGGCATCTGCTAGCGCTGTTATTACTGGACATGGCAGCGGAAGAGTGGGCGAAGCAAGAACAAGACATTGACTTTAGGCGACAACTTCGTGCCCAATCTCTCTGACGCAAAGTCTGAGGGTACGTTGTTTGACTTTGAGTGGTCGACTAATGCTCATCTTGATCAAGGTTGTTGGGAAACGCCGTATGCAAAATGTTCAGACAGAATTGGATAAAGCGGGAGCAGTCCCCATTCGTGATGTTTCCCTGACCAAGTTCATTACAGCGTTGCTGGACGCTGAAACTGACCAGTGCGTGTTGTTTTTGTCTTCGGGTCTGTTTCACTTCTGATCGTTTTCCGCTTAGGCGGCGTATTCGTGGATTGGTGGATTTGAGGAAGACAGTAGCAACATCAGGGAGAGTCAGTTTTTCGGCGACTGCGTCGAAAGCTTTCCTCCGGGCATTGGATGCTCAAAGAATGTTGCAAGAGACACTGGCCGGACGCGTACCTCTCTTCTCACCTTCCGCAATCCCACGATTGGATCGCGGCAATGGTGGTTGCCGCGAGGGTTTGGTGGAGATCAAGCACGCCTTACGAGATGCTCAATGTTGTTCTGCTTTGACCCGTCTGCAACTGCAAGTGCATGTCAAGTCTCGACTGCTCATCTACACACGGCAGCACTCGCACACTCATTCGCGGACACTACACCACCATCCGAGTCAAAACGTTAACCATATACCTTGGTTACCCTCTAGTGCCGAGGTAATCTTGCTTTTTGAGGAGTACCATAAAATATCTGTCGGGCCATTAGTTTCAAGTCGGATACTATACTGATGCACACACCTTTTCCATTCATCGTTGCTCGTTTCCGTCCGAGTCCCCGTATCATCCACCAGATTACCGACATGGCCGCTGCAAAGACCGCCAAACGACCCGTCCGTCTCTCGAATGTTGCTTGTGTCAACGATTTGGGAGGGAGTAGCTTGTTGCTGTGTTCTGAATCGTCTTGGAGTTTGTTCTGTAAAGTCTCGCTCACTGGCATTGTCGCGGGTCACAATCCTTTCTTCAGAATTCGATGGCTCAAGCACCAAATACAGGGCACACCGGGGTTTCGCGCACCCGGAGCTGAATCTTTGTAAGAAATCATGTGCCAACAATCACCCAATTGTAGTTCATACTCTAGGACCAGGATATAGAGCATACACTGCGGATCTGCAATAAGCCACCATCTGGGACTCGGCCTGATAAGCCGCAGTCTGGGACAGTCCGAGTCCCAGACTGCGGCTTTATTATTTCAAAATAGTTGGCACCGTGGGTTCAAACCCAACTTTTTGCCATTTTTAGATGCAGTAGTAATTATTATATTTCTCAATGAATTCTGAATATAAGAAGATGATTTGGATATCAAAAAATCAACAGGGTGATTTTATCAATCAACTCCAGCCATCAAATTCCCATATACGGACCTTTGCTAATCAACTTGCATATTGCTTGATTATGTCAGTTTCTACTAAGAAAATAAAAAAAAAACTTTGACTTTATATTAGACTATACAAGGACTCAACATATATAAATTAGGTGCCCACTAGAATATGGCCCCAGCAGAGCTGCTCTAAACAAGAACAAGAAGTGACATTCAAGTTAATGTATATAAAATGTCACTCATGCTCTGCTCTTCACTTCTGCCCCATAACAGAGCAAAAAAAATCTGGAGCTAGAGTAGTCTCTGGGGGCTCAGAATAAGGGGGGAGAGTTCCCCTGACATAGATGAGGAGTGAATGTGGTTGTTGTAGGCGAACTCTGCGGCCGGAATCAGCTCATCTCAGTTGTCCTGCTGATAGTGAAGATCCGCAGGTACTGCTCCAACTCCTGGTTGACGCGCTCTGTCTGACCATCCATCTGCGGATGGTATGTGGTGGACGTGGCAGGCTTGATGCCAATTAGACGCCAAAGTTCTTGGGTGAAGTCCGTGATGAACTGCGAGCCGCAGTCGGAGATGTACTTCTCCAGGGTCCCATGGTGTCACCAGACATTCCGGTAGTAGAGGCGGGCTGCCCCTACTGCGTCGACCGTCGTATGACACTCCGAGAAGTGGACGCGCTTCTGGAGGGTGTCGACAACAACCATGATTGTGTCGTACCCGTGGGCTTCAGGGAGCTCTACTATGAAGTCAACAGAAACGGTATGCCAGCATTCCGGGGGCGTTTCTGTGGGGTGCAGCTCTCCGTGGGGCAGTCTCTGGAGTGCCTTGGTGCAACAGCACAAGTCACAGGTTGCAACGTACCGGCCAATATGGTGAGACATTTGGGGCCACCAGTAGTTCCGGGAGACCAACTCCAAGGTCTTAAAGCAACCAGCATGTCCGGCAACTCAAGTGTCGTGGCAGAGCTCGATGATATGTCTCCGCAGGTCCTTGTCCTTCGGTACAACAATCTTCCCATGAAAGTGAAGAAGACCGCCGGAGACGGCCCACTCGTCAGAACGTGAGGAGCGGGGGCCTCAAGCTTGACCTTGAACCTTAAGAAGTTGCCGGGCCGCTAGTGCGATGGGCTCTTCCAGGTCAGGCTCACCGGAGAGGGCATCACAGATGTCACGAAGAAGTTTGGGACCAGGACCGGAAACGGAAGGAACCTCCCTTTCGGCCCCTCGGAAACATCACTTCCAGCTCCTGTCCCTATAGAGTTGGATCACACCAGGGCTTGGGGTAATTTATAGCTTTTTCCCCTCCTACTATCTATCTCCCTGACAGTGGTTTTATTGTCTATCCTAAGTTATATAACAACTAAGATCTCTAAAAATTGACTGGCTTAAAATATATGTATGCTGCAACCCATAAGAAGCAAGTCCTGACAACCGTGAGGATGAAAGGTAAAGGAGAATGAGGAGAAGGTGATGATATGAGAGGGCCAGGTAATGTGCATGGCAGAACGATTCTGAGAAATATTCTGCCAGGCAGAATGGCAGTACACATAATTCCAGAATAGTGCCAAGTGGAAGAATGCACGTCATTATCAATCATGTGATGTAAATTACCCATTCAAAAACTACAAAAATTCGTCTATATCCCAGTCAGAATCTACTCCAACAAGTACGACATTGACCTTGTGAGCCTCCTCCCTAGGAATCACACAATCCAATGCCTTCTTTACAAGATTAAAATCATAGATGTCGCCATTCATCAGTGACAGCTGATTGGCCCGCTTCTTTTTCTTCTTCCTCGCCAGCGCGCCTCGGTGGTGGCAAGTCCTCATCATCGGAGCTTTCAACCGCAGGCTCATTCTCTCCCAGCCCACCGTCTTCTTCTTCACCCTCCAATGTCTTCTCCAGCTCGGTGAAAGCAGCCTCCATGATGTCGCCACCTTCGTCATCGTCTCCATCCAATGGCTCCTCCCACTCTTCGATGCCAACGGAGCTGGAAAGTGGTGTGCTATTCTTGGAAGTCAGCCGTGTTGCTGTCAAAGCTGTCGTCTCCGCATTTGCACCAGCCTTCTTGGTCTTCTTCGGCGGTGCTCGAGCCTTAGCTTCCTTGACAAGCTTGCTTCGGATGGTGGCCAGCAGGATATGACATCTTCTACATGTCTCTTGTAGTGTGACCTGCACTCTCCAACAACTAACCCAAATGAAACCTAAGCAAAAACCAAAACCAATACCAATACCAATATCTATAAAAGCATTTTTCATTGTTTATGGCTGGTTATGGTTTGATACCAGTTTGAGTATGGTGGTCAAAGTGGGAAAGTATTAATTTTACACACACTTTGTGAAAATTTCAGTTTTCCATAATATTTTGAAGAAAAAACTATTTTCCACAACTTTCTTTTCTAAATCGAACAGAAAGCTATGGATCACAGCTATTACCAAAATCCGCAAAATATTTTGAGAGCGCATACTTTCCGCAACTCTTATACAAGTTTTTTTTTTTTCACAATATTGATCAATCTGCAACATCATCTTCAATACCTATCTACTATCTGCTTTAAGTTACGCACGGTATTGTCAACATCATCCTGATTTGGCGCTGGACCTACGTTGGTCATACGCGAACTGCCTCCGCCGCTGGAGGGTTCACCATCAAGTCATCACCCGGTAGGCCACAGCTAGTAGCATCACCACCCTAGGCACATTCACAGCCCACCGACCCTGCATATCGGATTTGGTGTTTTGCGACAGAGTCTGCATGGCCGCAGTGTGAGTTGGCACTATTGGCAGGGACATGGGAGAGGTGAGTGCTGCGGCGGTGGACCCGTGAGGCCAGCCGAGGCCACTGGAGTCCACGACTAGCCAGCCAGGAAGCCACGCTCCTCTCTCTGAGACTCTCTTTCCTGCATTCGTCTTTGAGAGGGCAAGCAGTCCTCTCAGCTCAGGATGACCGCCGCCGTTGTAGCTGACCAGACACTGGCAGACAGCACCACCCGAGTCGCCGGCGGAGTTTAAGAGGAAAATGTTGTGCCAAAGTAAAGTCACCAAAAGTGTTGCGAGAAATAAATGTTGCGGAAATTATTTTTTGGATTTTGGGAATGGGTGTGATCTACAACTTTCTGTTGATTTTGGGAAATAAAGCTGCGGAACACAGATTTTTGTTCAAAATGTTCGGAAAACTGAAGTTTTCACAAAGTGTGTGTAAAATTAATACTTCCCCACCTTGACCACCATAGTTTCAAACCGTTTTGAGAGCTTTTAGTGTAATATTACTTATGTGGTTGCAACCAGTGGTAAAACATGTCATGGCCTGTGAGCTATTTCAGAAGATTCCACTGGTGCATCACCGATTTGGGAGGGGGGTTGATTGCGGTGGCCCGTTGGCCAGTAAGCTTTAATGAAACGACCCATCGAAACGTGGCCGATTGCCGCTTCCAGCCTTTTCCAGCATGGTACATGAACACGTCCATCACGGACAACTGAGACGGTGTCACATCGCCTTTGGCTGACGGGCATGTACAGCTCGTGAGCTTGGTAGCTTGGTAATACTTGTTGGGCCTCGGCGCGGCCTGTCGGTCGGGGGCTTTTTGTTTGTTTGTTTCCAGCTGCTCGGCCAACCAAATTCTCAGATATCGATAAGTAGGGGTACCCAAATCCAACGAACTGGTAAAATTGAAGCAGACAAGAGGGACTTGAAAGACCTTTAACCATCGATGCAGTCTCGTCGCCACTACGGGCGTGGCGCACAAGACCTCAAACTACCTCAAATCAAATTTGTTATGTGCCTTCGTCACATGTTACCGCTTTTCTGGCATCAAGTGAGCGACTCGATGTCCTTGACTTTGTACTCGAACTTGAAGAATGGCTATGGCTCATCCGGCCAATAGTAGTGGTTCACTCTACCTTCTTCCAGTCCGGTGAATGGCGATGGTTTGTTGGCAAGTGAGTATCTTCACACTTTTTTGTAACGACATTTCCTTTTAACATCATGTCAGAAACCTCGAATCCGGTGGTCGTCATTGGGCTCCTCTGTGGTTTGTTGTGGTTGCAGACTGGACCTCTTCCAAAGCCAACGCCGTGCGTCTCTCGATATCCTTGATCATCCAAACCTTAGCAAACCACGGCGCTTCTGGCATCAGGGATAGCTCGAGTGCCACTCGACTGGAATAATGACTGTGGCTCATCCGGCTAGGTACTGGCCTCTGCATGACCGATTTCCGAAATTAAAATGTCCGACTAGTGTCAGAAAACTCGGAGCTGCATCTCCCTTGATGTCGACTCGATATCCGTACAACGGAAGAACGGCTGTAGT